ATCAGAAATAGAGGCAGAATGGCAATCCCACTGCTTGCCTTTCATCTTCCCCAAACATGGGCTGGCCTCTGTGAAGTTGAGCAGAGAGGTCATGAAGCTCTGGCCTCACATCCACAGCCAGCTGCCTCCTTTAAACTGGCAACACTGACCCCTCTCCCCTCTAGGCCACAGTGAACATAAACACCTGTCATCTCTAGAACTTTTGTTTACATAGTAACAGACCTATATGCTGGTTGAGTCAATTAATGGACTGTGACCCTCAGTTTGAAAAAATACTGCTCCAAGATGAGGCTTTTTTCCCCTATTTTGGGCAGCTTTTAAGATGTTCATAGATGCACCAGAGGAAAGACCAGCTGAAGATAACTGGAAGAAGATAGATTTCCACAAGCCAAGCACAGGGGCATCAGGGGAAAGAGTTCTGGGGACACCTTGATCTTGGGCTTTTAGCCTCCAGAATTAAGAGAAAGTAAATTTTAGTGGTTCCATTTCACTGGAGAGCTCTGATGAATTACAAAGAGTGAGTCCTCCCATTCATACGATCTAGTCTTTTTTGAATTAGGGTAATCTCTTCTAGGCTGGCCTTGAACTTGCAATCCTATGGCCTCGGCCTTCCAAGGTTCTAGGACTACAATCATGGACCACTATGCTCAGCTCATACTCACCTAACCTTGAAATTCAGCCACTGTTCCCATTCCACCACTCCAATTAAGACCCCTAGAACATGGCCACATGATATACAAAATCAACAATTATATTTGCTCTTTGGTCTGTGTTTCATTGTTCACTTTTCTGTTGTCTACACTCTTCTACTTGTTTTCCACATATGTTTGGCTGCAGCTCATCAAACTAGAGGTCATTTTGTGCCCATATTTGTAGCAACTTAAGCCAAACAGGTGCAAGCATGAGACTAGCATCTAATGGGGAGTCTTTATGTCTTCCAAAACATGACTTAGAGCAGGAGTTGAAAACTTGAAGACAAGCAAATGAGTGAAGCTGGCAGACAGGCAGGGAGAAGTGAGCGGGCATATCTGGCTGCTGAGGGCTGTCATCACTCAGAAGAGGTTGCAGGGAGTTCTGATTTATGAAGCAAAGCCAATTATTTAGTCTGTTATGTAAGCTCTCCCAATTTTTATGTATTATTTATTTTGGGCTTTTTGAAACAGAATCTTGTCATATAGCCCCAGGCTGGCCTCAACCTCACAATCACCCTGACTTGGCCTCTGAAGTACTAGGATTACAGGTATATACCACCACACCCTGTCCAACTTTTAAATGTTCAAGTTTGAATCAAAATTTTTAAATACAGTGTATAGACTGATCAGATATGCTATGGTCAGACTGCATGCAGGGCAGAGCCCCTTCTCTCTCTGCACCAAGGGGCTCCCCCTCTAGGCTGAGAAGCTCTCCACCTTTAGCAGGAACAAGGGCTGATAACGGAGCATCTGCTGGAGTACCCAGGAAGAAAGACCAAAAAGGAAGTGTGCGTCCTGCTGCCCCATCCCTCTCCTTTGGGTCTGGCTCACAGTCCCTGGATTGAGGACAACTCTGACTTCCATTAAGTCAGAACATGCAGTGGCAACAGGGGCCCAGCCCCAATCAGTGTTGGTGAGGAACCTGGGGCTGGGTTGGGGCTTTGGAATGTTTATTTTCCATCCTCCTGTGTTTGCCTCCTCCAAAACCTTCTAAGAAGTGGTAAAGAGATGGCAGTAGACAGAAGGGTTCTCAGACCACAGCACTTCTGTGTAAGAATCTCAAAGAGTGTGGATGCTGGGAACAGAACATGGTTCTGGTCACCATGCTGAGTGTGGTGGTTGTTCCTTCTACAAAAGTGGTAATACTGAGCGCTTGCTACATGCTGGGCATTTCTGTGTAGACCTCTTAATCTTCATAAACACTCAGGAGCAGCCATCAGTATTGCCTTTTTTTTTTTTTTTTAATTTAAGACAGTGTGTACAGGATCTCACTGCATAGATCGGACCCCTAGTGATCCTCCTGTTTACAGCCTCCCAAGTACTGAGATTACAAGCAGGTGCCACCACGCCAAGTCTCAATCAACATCTCAGCACACCCCAGGGGCAGGGCCAAGGGATCAAACTCCCAGCCCCTGCGTCTGCCTAAGCAGGCACTTTAATCCACTGAGCTATTTGGCCAGCCCTAATATTGTCTTTATTTGATGGGCTAGAAATTGGGGCAGAGAAGCTGAGCTATTCAGCCAAGGTCATATAGGAAATAAGTTTAAGTAGAATCAGATTCTGGCTCAGGGGTCTGAGTCTGAAGGAGTGCTCCCCAATTGTTAGACATATACAATCTGAGTGCAGTTCAGGTCCCCTGCCTACTGTGCCCCCAGTGCCCAGAGTAGTGTTTGAGGGGAACAGATGACCTTTGTCTACTATCGTATCAGAGTCCCTAATAGCCAGAGAGGTCACGAATGCTCGCTGAGCGTAGGTGTCTGGATCAGGAACTAGGGAAAGAGCTATAGACATAGGATTGGCTACAGCGAAGTCCTTGCCCTTCTGGGGCTTGTATTCTAGTCTAGTGGATAGAGACAGACAATAAACATAAATAAGGAGAGTGCTTTCTGGCAATAATAGATGATGAATAGAGCAGAATACATGAGAAGTAAAAGAAGAGATGGATGAGGAGCTATGTTAGCTGCAATAATCTGAGGCAGCGAAGAGAATATCTGAGCTCAGATTGGTTTGTTTGGAGGGAAGCTGACATTGGAAAATCGATAGACGGGAGCTATTTTTTATTCTTTCTGTACTGAGACTTGAATCCAGGGCCTCTGCACTGAGCTATATCCCTTACCCTTTTTATTATATTTTTGAAATAGTTGCTAAGTTGCCTAGGCTATGCTCAAACCCATGATCCTCCTGCCTCAGCCTCCAAGAGCACTGGGGTTGCAAGTATGTAGCACCATATCCAGCCTTTGGGGAGCATGCCAGGAAGCAGAGCAGCAAGTACAAAGGCCTGATACACTGAGGACACGCCATGAATCAGATGGCATATCCGGAATTTATCTTAGATATTGTGCTTCTATGTAGATTGAATTGGAAAGTAAACCCCGGCTGAGAGCTCAGGAATAAGCAGAGATGCAACTTTCAAATATGAGCGAGAAGAAGGCAGCGCTGGACTCCGTGGGTGAAAGCACAAGCTGTTCAGCATTCCATCCAACAAGGAAAGCAGCCTCCCAGGCCCGAGAGAGAAGGGAGGGAGATGAAGTCAGAGGCAGGTAGAGTGTTCAGAGTGTGTGTGTGTGCGTGTGCGTGTGTGTATGTGTGTGTGTGCGTGTGCGTGCTCATGCGTGTGTGTGTGTGTATAGGCGTGTGGACTCATGGGCAGGGGTCTGGAGTCCATTTTACTTGTAGTGGGAAGCTCTTGAAGAATAAGAGACAGGAGGGAAGTCATTTAAGTCACAATTTTTTTTTCAGTACTAAGGATTGAATTCGTAAGTAACAATTTTGAAAGGTCGCCCTGACTACAATGTACAGATGGATTGTAGGAGAACAAGGATGAGGTGAGAGATCCCTGGAAGGTGTTGCAGCAGTCCAGGCTGGAAATGTGTTAGAAGGGGATCATGTACCAGGTACATTTTGGGGGAAATGGGAACAGGACCACATAGGCTGGATGTGGGGTGCTAAGGACAGGGTATCAAGGACAACTCCTAGGCTTTGGCCTGAGTAAATGGTGATGCTGTTTACTGAGATGGAGGACATTTGAGGAGGAAATAGAGTACCTGGGAGCCAGGAGAAGTCTATAGTTCCATTTTGGCTCTGTTCAAGTTGAGATGCCTCTGTTCATCCGAATGGAGTTGCTGGACCTGGCAAGGTGGCGCTTGCCTATAATCCCAGCTCTCAGGAGGCTGAACCAGGAAGATCACTGTGAGTTGAAAGCTAGCCAGGGCTACACTGTGAGTTCAAGGCCAGCCTGAACAGCATAGTGAAATCTTGTTTCAAAAGACAAAATGAGGGGGCCTGCCCCTTAGCTCAGTTCTTTAAGTGGCTGCTTCAACAAAGCAGTCAGGCTCAGGTTGCTGTGGTTCGATCCCCCCAACTCAACCCAGCCAAACCTGCCCTGAAGGCATTCGGAGAAAAAAAAAAAAAAAAAAAAAAAAGACAAAATGAAACAAAGCAAAACAGATGGAGATGCTGAGGAGTCCAGTAACCTGGATTTCAATGAAGACAGGATTTAGGGCTAGAGGTCTATGAGTGTCTGATAAGTCTCTCTCTCTCTCTCTCTCTCTCTCTCTCTCTCTCTCTCTCTCTCACACACACACACACACACACACGGAGTATGTGTAAGGAAAGAAAACAGCCAAGGATAGAACCCTATGCCACGTCGATTGATAGGCTAGAAGGGGAGGAGCCAGGAAATGAAACTGGAAAAGGATGGTTGATGTGGCAGGAGTGGTGTCTGGGAAGAAAGTGTTTCTATGGAGGCAGTGATGAGGGGCTGCAGGGAGCTGAGCAAGCTGAGAAGAGGGGATGGGGAATGAAGAGGAAAACTGACAGAGACAACACTGTCGAGGGCTTGTGCTAGACAGTGTCACAGAGAAGAGAGGCAGACCATGAAACACCAATTCCAGTATTTTGCTTTTTGTGTTATTTTCCACTAGAAGAGAACAGATTTCTCATAGTGATGGGGATGGTCCAGGAGAGAGAAGGGATCAGGCACAAGAGAAAGAGGAGGGATGCAGGGGGACCTTGAGAAGCACAAGCATCCTGGGACCAAGGGGAGGGAAGGAGAGAATAAGGCAGAGCTGCAAGAGTGGAGGATGCGCTGGGCGGGGCTGACAGTTCTCTATCTCTTTCCTCCATTAAAAGACACAGTGCTGCTGTGGGTCTGTAGGGCAGTGAGTAGTGAACAGGTACTGACGATGAAACTGTGATGCTGAGCTGTGTGGCTGTGATGCTGGGAGCAGGCAGCGAGGACACAAGGGGAGCATCACAGAGGGAGCTGAGCTCAGGGCTGCACAATGCAGAGATCCCAGTGGCTGTGCCCTGCTCCTGGGTGTTGCTGGCCCCGGCTCCTCTTGCTCTTTCTCTGGACCTCTTCCAGAAGTCCAGACTGCTGAATGAGAGCAGCCCTTCCACGCGGCTGGACACAGGAGGGACAGAAAGGCTCTGTCTATGGTGAAGTCTTTTACCCACAATTGTAAAGCCACTTTATTCAGTGTGAGAAGTCTCCTTCTTCTTTTCTGTCACGTCGATGTTTATATCTGAATCACCTATATGACAAAAAGTCTTTGCTGCAAGAAACCAGGTAAGGTCTTCATTTATAAAGCTTCACTATGGGTGGTGAATGAATGCAGGAGACAGGAAAAGGAATGTTGCGGGACTGTCCTGCTACAAGGTTGTATAGGGTTAGTTTCTGGACTTATGTGTAAATATAAGAATTATATAATTATGCCTATTTTTTAAAATATATTTTAAATTTTTAAATGTTTTTCATCATATTCTGTAGGGATATATCAATACTTGATGAAAAATACCTGTTCCATGTTATATCTAAGATGTTTGATATTCAGACAGATAGTGAGGTTAAGCTTAACAGCCTAGGTTGT